CCATCCCGCCCTCCGCCCTCGCTCTCCGCCCCTGCCCTGGCTGGCCTGGGTGGCATCTCCCCATTATCACGCGCCAAGTGGGAGGGAGGTGGACGGGGCCCTGAGCCGACCTAGCCCTAAACGGAATGGGGCGCCCAACACGTGCCCGGATTACTGTGCCTTCCCCGGGTGCAGCCTTTCGGCTCGTGAAGGGTCGGTGCGTGTCGTGATCCCCTGGAACACCCGTACTCTCCCGCGCCATCTCCGTCGCCCTCTTCGGCTGCGGCCTTACCACCAAGATCGGGAGGCGGCCAGGGCTCATAGACTCGGTCGAGAGACCCCAGATTGGCATCCATGCCTCTCTGGACAGGGTGGCCCGCCACAACGACCCCTGGAATTGCGACTCGCCGCTTTCCTCCCGCTGTGATTCTGTGTGAGCTCTGTGTCTTGATTTGCCAACAATATACCTACGAACACATAACCTGGCTGTGAATACAGCTGGTGCCATGATTAGACATGCTGTCTCGCCGCGACGCTGCGGCCCCGCCCTGGGCCGCCTCTTTGCTTCAACGGCTGCGGAGCCGCTCGCGCCCGCCACAACGTGCGTGCGGCAGGGCCACGAGCTCGACGTCTCGAAGCTGCTGCCCCTCCTCGCGGACGCCGGCGCGATCTGGTCGGCCGCCGAGAAGGTCGCCGTGTCTCAGTTCTCGCACGGTCAGTCGAACCCGACGTACCTGCTGTCGTTCGAGGCGGGTCCGCGACTGGTGCTCCGCAAGCAGCCGCCTGGCAAGCTCCTCCGCGGCGCCCACGCCGTCGATCGCGAATTCCGCTGCATGTCGGCGCTCGGCGCGACGGCGGTGCCGGTGCCCGCGATGCGGATGTTCTGCGACGACCCCGAGGTGCTCGGCACGCCCTTCCTGGTGTGCGACTACGTCTCTGGCCGCTTCTTCGACGACCCGAAGATGGGCACCGCCGCCTCGCCCCAGGAGCGCAGCGCGCTGTACGGCAGCTTCCTGTCTGCGATCGCCGCGTTGCATACTGTTGACTACAAGGCGGCCGGGCTTGGCGACTTTGGGAAGGAGGGAGGCTACGTGGCGCGGCAGACGAAGGTGTGGACGTCGCAGTACCGTGCCGCGGAGACGGAGTCCAACGCCGCTTTTGAGAAGCTGCTCGAGTGGCTGCCGA